TGCCTTCTTTCCCAGCAGTGTCTCAACAGCCCTCTGCCTGATTTCTTTCTCTATAAAGCAAATCCTGCCTTCTACTTATCACAAGGATTCTGGGAAGACAGAACAGATAGAAATGTGCAACCTTGGAGGAAAGTTCCTGGTATTACAATCACAAATGAAGGTGGAAGCCAACTACTGTCTACTGCAAAAACCCCAACTCTACACGATGGCAAGGAAGATCTTTCAACTTCATAACCTGGGTAAGGAGTAAGGTGATAATTCTTGCATTATGCAACTTTCAAGGAAAAGAAAACAAGAGTCAGTATTATTTTCCAATATCATAGGCTTAAAAGGCCTAAGTCTTAGTTTTTGTACTCCCTACCCCTCCCTTCTTCTTAAGACTGGTACAATCAAAAGGTTCCATGAAATATTTAAAAAATACATAAAATGCGTATTTTCCAATTTTTGTTTTGATTGTTGACTAGATGTTTCAATATCGCAACTAAAACAGTTTCCATTGCATACATAGGTCGCTATGGGTGATTTCCACTGCCACGTGTTTAATTAAGATTGTATGGTTATTTGTACCTCAAAATTTTTCACAAAACAGAAAGGCAGATTTCACTGAAAATTTACCTAAAGTGAACAATGATTGAAATGATTTGGAGAAAAACATACCAAAAGTCATTTGCAATGAAAATAAGTCAAAAAGGGGGGAGGGTGGGGAGATCCTTTTAAAAGCATCCCAGAGTGAACAAAAGGCAGTAGAGGGATTTAATCCGATGCGGAGACCTCAGTTATCTGCAATAGAAGGCACTTTTTGCCTCACACACACAGGTACCACACTGGTCAAGCATCACAGCTAGTGAATAAGTGGCAGAGCTTAGAAAGAACCAAGTCTCTTGAGTCCAGGGCCTTTGTTCTGTTCAGGATTGCCGAGGTTTGAGGCATTTTTGGTTTCCTACAGCTCGTCAATTCAAACTTGAAGCTTGCTTGTGAAAGGGAATTCCAAGGTGTGTGTCCAGAGATATTCTGGTCTCTAGAAAGCCCCGGACACGTGGGCACTAGTGAACTGTAATCAGGGAGCTAGTCAGGGTCCCTTTTAAAGCATGCGTCACTCTGCTCTGTGGTGTCTGAACTGAAGGGGGTGAACGGCCTTAAACTGAAGGCATCATCTCTGCATGGAAGAGGGCTGTGTATCTGGATCCAGCACAGCATTAGGCACATAAAATACACTCGATTTGAAAAAACCTTGTAAACAAAACACTGGGATTAACATGATCATTTCTGTTCCAAGATGATGCAACAAATCATAGCTGTGCGCACACATAACTGTGGAAGATCCCCATCAGAAGCTTCTAAGATTTAAGTTAACAAAGAAAGGCAACAGAGATATAAGCTTGGATTCCCAAATGTGGAATAAGGGACAAAGGTACAAATAATACTTCCTAACACCTCACAGAGAGGAAGGAAATGGCAGGTAAGTATATGTAAATCAAAGGGAAATAAAAAGCTGTCATCAGGGCTTTTATTTCTTTTTTAATCTTTTTGCGGTACGCGGGCCGCTCACGGTTGTGGCCTCTCCCATTGCGGAGCACAGGCTCCGCACGCGCAGGCTCAGCGGCCATGGCTCACGGGCCCAGCCGCTCCGCGGCATGTGGGATCTTCCCAGACCAGGGCACGAACCTGTGTCCCTTGCATCAGCAAGCGGACTCTCAACCACTGCGCCACCAGGGAAGCCCTCATCAGGGCTTTTAATCTTCTCATTGTACAACTGATTCACTTTAGCACAGTCAGAGCAACCTCTGTGCTACTCCCACTAGCTGAAAAATTTTGCTTTAGCTGAACTCAGAGTATCCAAGAGCCTGATTAGAGCTCTTCCAAGTACATAAATTAATACTAGCAATGCCACAAAAATAAAACACTGCCCATCCACTTGTGCATATATTCGTCTTTTCAGCCATTATCCCAAGTCAACACAGCCTAATCTTTACCATGATTAGAACCACAAACACTGCCTGGATTGGCAGGTTTTTATGATCAATCTTTCACTTTCTTCATGAATAATTTTCTCAGAAGTATTTTAAATCTAATGTGTATAGTTTTACCAAATTCGCTATTTAAAAAAATCTTTTTATATAGTTCATCTCTCTGGTGTGACTGTGAACATTTTAGGGTAGCACAAGGTTGTCCTGGCAGTAGGTTGATGAAACCCAAAACTGGGTTTTCTAACTCTAAATCTAGGATCTTTCTACTTTCTTTTCAAGAAAGAAAAGCCAGGCTTCTTCTATCCCAGGCCACAGACTGGCCCCAATTACCCCAAGCAATGATCCCACAGATGTAAGCCTGAGAGAAAGCCTGCACCCAATCAAGCCACTGCCACCACTGGAAAAGCAAGGTCAGGAGTAGACCCCACTGCAAGTGGGGCATGACTTCTACATCGTGAAAATAGCCTGCACTTGGATCCACTGCCTAGATACAGGCTCCTAATCGCTCCTAGTTGCATAAATTTCAGGGCCCTTGGGGCTACTCAGTGTAGCCAGAACTCTTAACTACACAAAAGGGAGTTGGATATTTTGGTGTAATAGAAAGAGGATACCCAACACTCTTGACAAGCCCTACAGTCTTGGGTTCATATTCCAACTCTATAACTGAGTTGCTTTCTGAACCTCAGTTTCCTCAACAGGTAAAGAGAGGTGTAACACCTCCTCTCAGTCATTGTTAAGCAAAACGCCCAGTTCAGTGCCTGGCAAACAGTGGAGACTCAACAAGGTTGGTCTACTTCCTACTGAATTCTCTGCTCAGAATATTTTCTTGCTTGTTCTCTGAATTCCTGGGTCAAAAGCTACTTCTGATAAACCTCCCGAATAGCCTAACCAAGTTCCAAGTATGGTTTATTAAAATCATCTCTCTGTATGTGTGTGGTTCTGATAATGTTTGATATCTCAAATTTAATCTTGCTACTCAATGTGTGATCTGCAGACCAGCAGCCTCAGCATTACCTAGAAGTCTGTGTGAAATGCAGAATCTCAGGCCCCACCCCAGACCTACTGAATCAGAATTTATGAGATCCCCAAGTGATATGTTTACATCTTAAAGTTTGAGAAACACTGCCTATAACATACTTGGACATTCAATAAACCAGAGCCTACGGACACTCTAAGGAATCCGCTATGGCACTTTTGCTGCTGGTGGTGCTCTATGAATCTTTATTCAAGTAGAAAGCAACCACTGATTAAGGCATTTTCACTGGAAGGACAGGAGAACTGTACATTTCTTTCTTTGTGTTTCTGAGTTAAGAAAAAGAAGATGCACTAAGTACATTAGCCTTAAGGCAATATTTAAATCTCCTATGTTCACGTGATCTTTGTATATGTAATAAGTGCTCTGAGTATAATTAGTAATATGAGCTTTCTGATTATATGTAAACTAATTAATAACAGGAAGGATACTTTCAACGTAGTAACTTCTGGTTTCTAGGATGTAACACCTATCAGATTGATTAGAAATAAGCTTCCACAGGGCTTCCCTGGTGGCGCAGTGGTTGAGAGTCCGCCTGCCGATGCAGGGGACACGGGTTTGTGCCCCGGTCCGGGAGGATCTCACATGCCGCGGAGCGGCTGGGCCCGTGAGCCATGGCCGCTGAGCCTGCGCGCCCGGAGCCTGTGCTTTGCAACGGGAGAGGCCACAACAGTGAGAGGCCCGCGTACTGCAAAAAAAAAAAAGAAAAAGTAAAAGAAATAAGCTTCCACAAATTGGATGTTCTCAACACAGGACGATAAAGTTCTAAAGCGTGTCTTTGTTTCTAATGTACACTGTGATTCTGTATATGTGCCTCCCCCAACCATCAACTTTCTGAATTATTTTTTAGTTCTTTCCAGTTATATGTGAAAGTACAATTTTTAAATGCTCCTGAAAGTTAAATTTATGACCCAAATTCCTAAAATGAATCACCAAATGCTGGATACGGGAGGCTGGTAACTCTGTGTATCAGGAAACAAAAACCAATCTGAGTGAGTCATCTCTGTGATCACAGATAACACAGCCACAGCCAGGGCTTGGCGCAAACAAATGGCTACAGCAATCACACACCAGAATCTTGTGTTTAATGGTTTCTCACATTAAAATGCATCAGTCAGCTCTGTGAAACCAGGAAGTGGAACCCAGGACACCACATAAATAACAAGTACACTCTCTTGAGTTGGTTATATTTTATCCTTCTGCTGTATTTCAAGTTTTGGTAGATACATAAAAATGATGGTACTGTTTTGTCAAGAGGTAAGCAGAAAGGTAAAAGCTAACTAATATCACAGGTTTTCTGAAATATTTCATAAGAAAATTTCAATACTTTTTGGAGGACTGTTTATTGAGGCCTTTGATCCAAAATGAAAAAGGTGATCAGAAGCTGGCGAATGCCTCAAAAAAATGTAACAAGAGGAAGTGGTAATAGGCTGTAGAAGCAGAAAAGCCTATTATCATTTGATTCCATGTGTAATCTTTATGCATGGCTTTTTCTCAGGTACTCCAAGCTTGAAGGGGAAGATGAGTGGGAAGTGAACTCGTGCTACACAGCATTGCCATCTAGATGTTGCCCCTTGCAACCACCAGCAAACTCCTCCAGAGTGAAGGACCAGGTGTCCTCTTGAACCCCTGGACAGGGGATATATGCCAGAAGTGAGCCTGCCCCATGCTGGCCAGGCTCAACACAGGGATAATGCAAACACCCAGGCTATGTTTATCAAAAGGGGGTATCTCCTATCAACACCACACACCCATTAGCAGGCAGGACTCCCAGAAAACACTACTTAAACAGTAGACATGAGCTCCTAAACCCACCATCTGAAACACTGGAGACCAGTTGGGGGCAATGGCAATAATCCCAGGCCCCTGTCTTCACAAGAACCCTCCCAGAGTTTAAAAAAAAAAAAAAAAAATCTATAATTTCTGAAATAGGAACAGGATTAAATAGCCCCATAAAGCCCCCATGCCCACTCCCATTATTTCCATGAGGTATACACTACCTCATAATGAAGGGAATAAAAGGTGCCATGCTGAGAGCAGAACAGGTGCCATCCATCGGGGAAGGGTAGAGCCTCCCCAACACCAAAAGCAAGAGAAACATGCTGGGATGATGGTTTAGTTCTCCTGTATCACTGAAAAAAGAAAAAAATTATTGTACATAAAAGATAGGCAAGGCACTATCTTCAAACGTTTTTCTCATTAAACAATTATGTATTGATATATAAAGTGAGACTATGATCAGCAATAATTTTCCTTTTTGCGTTTTTTCCTCCATTCACTTCATATTTTCTTAGTGTGTAAATGAGGAAGAAACTGGCAAAGCCGTGGATTGGGCTTTTGCACAGGATTCTCTTCTCAAAGCATATTATTCGATAATTCGAGTCTGCTGTTTTGATTTCAGCTGTTCAGACATTAGAGAGGTGTTTATTCCAGAGTATGAAATGTGAAACTTTTAACATCCAAATGTACTTAAGAAAGCGTGGACAGTCACTTACTAGGGCCAGAAAAGCCTGTCTGCACAAATTACTAATGTGAGGAAATGGATCATAAACAGAAGTAAAATTCACTGATGTGATTTTATTTTCTCATTACAGACAATTGGTATAAATTCATGCCAAGTGCAAAAACTGCTAAAAGAATAAAATGGTCCATGCTCTAAGATGTCCATTCTAAAAATTATACTACCAGCCACAGAATGTGATTGAAAAGACAATGGTGAACTTTTTTATCTGCTCTGATCAGACTGGAAGCCCTCTTAATAGCATTATTTTGTGTTTCCAGGGTCACTGGCCATCTTCACTCAAGTAGAATAGTACCATTTCTGATCACAAGTGACCAGATTAGTCAGCTGCAACAGGCCAGTGATAAAAAAAATGACAGGTGTGTGTTAAAGCAAACTCAATATGTAAACACACAGATTTTTGAATATAAGAGGAAGAAAATGATTCTTAGAAGAAATCACCATGTGCTTCTAAAAAGCTAACTCCTATAAAACACTAAAAACTTTAAAAATAGGATTTTTAAAATGTAAAATATAATATAAAACCCCGATTTTATACAAACTTTCAGGTACATATCTACCACAGAGTGTCAGGCAACATGATGTATTTAATAAAGAAGCACTTTAAAAAAATCCATCTATGTTTACAAGGAAGGAGCTGATTAAAAATTGCTGCCTGGAGGGAAAAATCTTGAAGTAATTCACATCCTTGATTTCACTTTGCCCCACCCTATTCTCTTCTTACCTGTCTACGGTATTGGCTACAGTTTCCAACTGTTTGAGAAGAAAGGGATAGAGTTCGGGGAAACGAGAGAAAAATTCACTCCCTGTCATCCTGTGGAGAGAGAAAAAGAGATAAATTACTATCATTTATTCCTTCTGATTTGATAATAAAGCCTTTTAATTTATTTTTTAAAGAATGACAACAAAGATCATTTGAAGATTTAATGAAATAAAGTTAAGAACAAAACTCACATCTGAAGAATTTAACAATCAATAGAAACAAGAGATTTAATTTGGATTTTGGAAATGCTCTTAACGCACGGAATTTTATCTCAAAATTTAAGATTACATACACTTACAAGTATTTAATATTAACTTCTGACAGGGAAGAAATATGCAATTTGTGAAAATGCCAAGTTTCCACAATTGATTTGGACTCTGAGTATAGTCAGCACCTGGTGGACTGAGACTGACTCAGTTTCAGTAGTAAGGGCAAATGTAAAACGAGGTTTCTCGAAGTCGGCACCGATGGCAGCTTGGATGAGCTCCTCCTTGTGGAGGCTGTCCTGTGCATTGTAGAGGGTTTAGCAGCCTCCACAGCTTCTACCCACTAGACGCCAGTAGCTCAACACCTCCTCCTCCCACCAGCTGACAACCAAAAATATCTCTGGACATTGCCAAATGTACCCTGAGAGGGAAAAAAAGGTTCCTAGCTGAGACCCACTGGTCTGGAGCATGGTTATCAGAAGACATGGCATGTGAAGCTCTGGGGCGCCAATCTGAGAGGGCTACCTTTTCCCTCTTTATAAACACTGCCCCCTGAACTCTGACAAGATTCTGAAAATAGGTCCTCCAACTGTACAGCCGACAAAAAAGCTCAAGCTAAACATAGCGTTTGGTGTTAAGTACTGTCTCCAAAACTATTAAAGAATTACTCTGAAGGGGTAACATAAATATTCCCCAACTTGCCCTTCTTAGCAACTCTAGATGCATGCTCCTATTAATGAAGACCCCAAATATCATTGTTTAAAAATTGGGGTATAAAAAAATTGGGGTGTATTTCACACACAGTGAAATGCTCAAACCTTAAGTGTACCATTCGATCAATTTTCACAAATGCATACACTCATGTAATCCAACCCTATGAAGCCTCAGTAATTTTCCATCATCCCAGAAAGTTCCCTTGTGCCCCTTTCCCAGTCAATTCTGAATCCCCAAAGCAACCATGATTTGATTTCTATCACCACAATTTGGTTTTGTCTATTCCAGAATTTCATATAAATGTAATAATGCATTACATAACTTTTTGTGTCTGGCTTTTTTCACTCAGCATAAAGCTTATGAGATTCATTCATGTTATTCAACATATCCATAGTTTGATTCTTTTTGAATATACAAGGTTGTTTATCCATTCTTCTCTTGACAGACAGGGACTGTTTCCATTTGTTGGCTTTCATGAATAAAGCTGCTATGAACATTCTTACACAAGGTTTTTTGTGGACATACGTTTTAATTCTTCTTAGAAAACTGACTGTTTTCCAAACTAGTTATAGCATTTTACACTCCCAACAACAAATAAGCATTCTAGTGGCTCTATATCCCTTCCAACATTTGCTGTTGTCTTTTTTTCCATTTTAGCCATCCTTGTGGGTATGTAGTGGTATTTCCCCATTATTTTGGAGAGAAGTGATTACTTTTGTTTGTTGCATACTTTTAAAACCTTACCACATGTTATAAATTTTCTTTTATACTTATTTCATATTCAGTAAGATCAAATTTTTTAAAAAGTCCTTACTCTATCCCTTACTTTATCCCTTATTCTATCCTTACTTTATCCTCAATAAATAAGTTACAGATTTATTGAACATTTACTGGACATTTTATGTTAAATAAGCTCATATCCTTTTTGTACTTATTAGATATTTTTATGGAAAAAATTAATAAATATTATAAGAAACACACTAGACTGCCCAGTGCCTCTCCTCATAGAAAACTATGCAAAAGTATCTTAGCTTTCTCTTATAAAAAATTCAGTGCATTAAGTACTTACTTTTCATTTGATTTTTTTCCCCAACAAATATGCATATTACATATACTGCTGTACGCCTTGATTTTTTTTCATCTAAACTATATCTACCAAGTCATTCAATATCAGGCACCCTGAACTATTTCTTTCCATTTAATGGCTGCAGAGTAAACCACATTATGGTTGAGTGTAACTGATTTAATCCCTAATGGTTAGGGCTTTGGGTTGTTACCAGTCTCTTGCTGTTACAAAGGATAACATGTATAAATTTCATCGTTAATAAATCGCAAACCTGGGCTTTGCAAGGTCAATGTTTTATTGAGGGGGAAGACAAAACAATTCCACTACAGGCTATGTTACATTCCTTACCACCTCCAAGCAAAACTGGTCAAGAATATCAGCTTCCATTTTTAGTAGAGTCACTTAAAAATAAAACTGTAAGAGTTCAGTACTGGGATCCCTGAGTACATTTGCTCATACAGAACATCTCCATCTACACAACAAAGCCTGGTGGATATCTCTTCTCAAGGAATCAGTCACTAATTTCCAGGGGAGTAAGTCATTCCTTAATGGCCTGATTATCTCTTGGTGGAATAAGAAAGACAAGCATTCTCACTTAAGTAGACCATATGGTTGTTATCACCATCATCTAGAAATTGCCTTGATAAATAACTGGCTCTGCTGACCATGATAATGCCAGAGAAAAGGGCTGAGGAGCTACTATTCTAAAATTAAACCTTTTTTTTTTTTTTGGCTGCACCATGCAGCTTGCAGGATCTTAGCTCCCCAACCAGGGATTGAACCCAGGACTTCATGACAAGACAGTAGAAAACATAGGATGACATACGATTTTTTAGAAATCTGAATGCCAGACTAGATAGATTCACCTGTCTTACAGGCACTGAAAGTATCTGAATAGGAGAGAGAGGTGACAAGAGCAGACAGACTAGAGAGAGTAGAAATGTGGTGACCCCATGGACATTCACTAAATGTGTACCTTTTCACCTCAACTACAGCATTAATATCTATAGGCATCTATACTTCCCTGCAACTCTCTTGATACACAGCACAATACTATGTACATGCTGGTTGACTGGTAAATATTTTGGCAATGAATGAATAAGTAATACTAGCCACAGAGGAAAAAAAAATTCTAATATAGTTGACCTCAAACCTATGCCTTATGCCTTTTTTCTTCTCTCAGTGACTGGTACCCACCCAACTGACACTTAACTACTCACCCAACCTGCCAAGCCTGAAACTCCCAGTACATCCAGTCAACAGGCAAATCTTGCTACTTCTACCTCCAGGGTATCTGTTGAGTCTATTTCCCACCATCCCCACTACTTACAAGTCTGACCACCATTATTTCTTGCCTAGATGCTATATCAGCCTCTCACTTGATCTCTTTGCCTCACATCTTCCCCCTCTGTAACTCTCTGTTGTGATAAGAATTCTCTCTTTAAAATACAAAGGTAATCATGCGACATTAGGAGATTAATGGCTCCCTACTGCTTTTTGGACAGTCTAAACTCTTTAGCCTGATTTTCAAAGTTCTGCTTAATCTGACTCACTTGTCCAGCTATCTCTTGCCTCTCCACCTTCAAACCCAGCCATGCAGTTTCTTTTGGTTCTATCAACATTACATGCTCTTTCTAGTCTCCAGACGTTGGCAAATACACTTTCTGCTAGGAATACGTCTGCCCTCCCCCACCCCAGACTAACTCCAAATAATCCTTCAATTTGAGGCTTAGGCCAGCTTCTTCCAGGACACCTTCCCTGCTGGCGCAAATGTGGGTTAGGTGCCTGACATTGGTCTTACACTATAATCTACAACCTCCCCATATATAGCAGTTCATACATAGAACTTCCAATTTACTTATTTCTCCCACTGATTACACGTTCTGCACAGGCAGAGACTAACTATATCCATCTTATTTCTCCATATTATCTCAGGTACTAAGTATGACGCTCAGTTCACAGCTGGTGCTTAATAAACAGTTGCTGAGTGAATGAAGCTAGACGAAAGAGTCCTTGACAAAGTCAAGGAGAAAAGGAATTATGACTAAGATGGTAACAAATTAATAATTTCTTGAAGTGCATCCTTAGCTATATCTAAGGACCTTCAGAATCATCATCTGAATTAATAAACTGAGTACCTTGCCAGGGCTCGAAATGTTCTTAAACACAAATATACAAAGCTCATCTCCCTGGTTTGCAAACTGTTTGATTCTAGCTCCCCCAAATAAGCCAACAGGCTGATATGTTACCTCCCCAGATATAGCAAGCCCTGGGGGTAAATTCACCAGTGACAGGCATTTCAAACCTGTTTATCTACGTGGCCAAAAACTAGCCCAGCAACTTTATAGGAAACAAGAGAAATGATAAGAAGGAAAAACTGAACCTCTGTAAGTTCAAGCTCCTAGGAAGACAAAGGAGACCAGCAAAAACTCTGAATGGGATAAAGCAGACAGACACAGGAGAAAACAAACAAGCCAGAATAGAGAGTGAGAATAAGCAGCTTCAACCTTGGAACTGTCAGACTACACAAAAGGTGAGTTATTCCCTATCCCACCAGGTAAGAATTATGCAGACACAACCGATGAGAGCCTCTTGGGGGAAACACAGAAGCTGCCTGAAGAAATCCACTTGCCTTGCACCAAGAATAAGGTGTCAGGAGCACAGAGTGGCTGTGATCTCCACCAAGGCGCTCCTCGGTCTGCCATGTTCAGTGCTGGACTCCCCCAGAGCCCAGCTGGGGCCGAGAACAGAGTAGGCTAGCAAGAGAGGTTTACTGAATGAAAGAAAATGCTTGCCTGGCACCATTTTGTTTTATTTCAAAAAGCGATTTTAGACGTATTCCAGCACTTCTTATTTATCGAGAAAAAATTAGATAATAAAGAACACTGCAAAGAAAAACCTAAAATTCACCACAAACACACTACCCAAAGATAGCTACCAGTCTGTTTTGAGGTCTGTCTATACCTTTCTCCTCCTTACATACTGCTCAATAATCTGTTTCTTACACTTCACAATATATCAAGGACACTGTTCCATTATCAATCTGAATAGCCTCTGTGTGGTAC